GTGCAGGACAGGGCACTGTTTCATTCTGTTCTGCATAGGGTCACTACAAGTCTGAACCAACTCGACATCACCTAACAACAACAGCAAACTGATAATTTTATGAAAATCAACATGACATTTCAGTAACAAAACTCCAAGTTAGGATAATGTAATTATTCTAGTTTCCTATTGCTGCATAAAAAAATCATGTCAAGATTTAGTGGCTTAACAATTTATCTTTCATGGTTCTGCAAACTGGGTGGTTTTTACCTGGGTACCTAAAACAACTGTAGTCAGATGGAAGCTTATGCTAGACTCATCTGAAGGCATCTTCACTCTGTGTCTGGGGCCAGAGTTGAGATGGCTAGAACAGTTCAAGCATCTTTCTCTTCATGATCTCTTCACCTGGCTAGTTTGCACTTTCTCACAGAACATAGGCTTATGGTAGCAGACTTCATACAAGCCAATGAGCTTCCCCAGAGCAAGAAGGAAAGCTGAAAGGGTTCTTAAAGCTTAACCATTAGCTACAATCTAGTGGCCAAAGTAATCATAAACTAGCCTAGATGCAAACACGTGGCTTAAATAGACTCATAAATTCGATCATGTGGTTTCAGTATACGTTTGCATTAAAAAAAAAAAGTATCTCTATACCCTTTTTAGCCCAACTCTGGTTCCTGAAACCAGTAGCATTCGTTCCCTGAGAACTTGTAAGAAATGCAGAATATTAGATCCTACCCCAGATCTCTTGGAAGGAAGGTGGGGCAATCCACTTCCGTAGTGATGCTGTCTCAGAAACCCAAGGAGGGGTCACTATGAGTCAGGTCTGACTCGACGGCACATAACAACAACAACAACAACCTCAGATCTACTGAATCAGAACATGTATTTTAACAAGATGCTAGGAGACCGATATGCACATTAAAATATGAGAAGTGCTGACTTAGGCCATACTCATATTGGTATACACAGAGTATCCTCAAACTTGTCATCTGAAGAAATCTAGAAAATATGAATTACTCATTTTTCAACTTTGGAACAGGGAAGGATTGTACTTTTATATTTTTTAAAATGGGCAAAATAGTCAAAACTTTATTGCTCCTATAAAATCTTTGACAATTTATAAACTGCACGGGGTGTGGGGGGCGGAATCTTGTTTTAATCTAATACATCAAAGATCATGACTACATATCTGGGAAAGTGTTTATTTTAAAACAGCTTTTTTTCTATGACTAAGGAAACAAAAAAGACAAAAAAAAAGTGCAAAGAACATAGAAACATATAAGTACTTTATATACATATAGCAATTTATATGCAAAGGCAAATGCAAAATGACATTTTTTTCACTATTATGATTAGCAAATAATTAAAATTATTTTTAGCAGGATAACAACATTGTCTTGCAAATTAACTTGCTATAATTTACAAACGTCTCTAGATAAAGCAACACTTAAAACAAACATGTCCTTTTAAAAGAAATAACAGTAAACTTACTTGTGAAAAACCTACCATTTTCTTCCCAAAATACATTCAATCCATTAAATTTCCCTGCTTCTTCTTTTCATTTCTATGATCTAAATTACAAGACATAATTATAATACCAATGAGAACATTCTTAAAAATTAAATAAGTTCAAGATTGAAAATAATTTTATGTTACCAGTTTGGTCTAGCTATAAATGTTATTTTAAAAAAATTCTTAATATTTAAATTCATATATGTGTGTGTGTGTGTGTGTGTATATAATTATTTCATTTATAGGAACAATTAGAAACTTTAGCTTGGTTTCTAAAAGCCCGAGATACAAACCTAGATTAAAATTTAAATATCTGATATAGTAATAATAAAACAAAAAGATATTTTATGGTTTTCTCAGTCTATATGGAACTCAGAAGGCTTAGCTAAAATCATACTGACTTCCAGTGTAGAAAGGAAAGGCAAATGACATTATTCTTCCAGCCATTATCTCTATTACCCAAAACGAGAGAGGTCTCTTTTGTACTTTAGTTCCACTGTGGCACCATTACAAAGAATCTAAACAAAAAACCCTACAAGGCCATGAAGGTCTCAATAACCATCAAATTGACTTTATTTATCACCACAGAGCTTTTATCCCTTTTTGCTTAAATCATTCAAACTGAATTCTCAAGAAACTTGTTAACTTGCTCTATAACTTGCTCTTTAGTTCATAACTAAACTAAAGTGTTCTAAATCTTATTGTGCATGTCCACATTTGAAAACCTTGCTAGTTTCCTACACTCCATGGAATAGGGAGCTCTGGTAGCATAGTGCCTAAGGCACTTGACTGCTAACCAGAAAGCTGGCGGTTCAAACCCACCAGCCACTCCTCGGAAGGAAAGTTGGGCAATCCTACTTCCGTAGTGATACTGCCTCGGAAACCCAAGGAGGGGTCGCTATGAGTTGGGTCCGACTAGACAACACATAACAACAACAACCACCATGGGATAAAATTCCCAAATCGGAAAAGGTCTACGAGATTCTTTACAATGCGGGTGCTGCCTATCATTCTAAACGTCATTTACTCTTCAAGATTTAGTAATGCAGAATTCCCTGCACACAAATGCATTGACATATGCTGTTTCTCCTGCCTCAAAAACTGTTCTTTCTTCTTCTGGACCACTAACTGGTTACTCACTTAAAACTTGACTCACTAGTTCCTTCCATAGGATTCCCTACACTGGGAATGGATGCCTCCTCTGTGTTTCCCTAGTACACCCTACATATGCTTATCATAATGCTTATTACTTATATTTTAATAGTTTATCTACTCTTAGTAACTCACGATCTCCTTAAAAACTCCAGACAGCATGGAGTATCTTCGCTTTGTATTTAGCACTGAGTGTGGCACTCAATATGGAGCTCTGGTGGTGTAGTACCTAAGGCATTTGACTGCTAACCAGAAGGTTGGTGGTTCAAACTCACCAGCCACTCCATGGAAGGAAGACTGAACAATCTACTTCCATAAAGATTTACTGCCTCGGAAACCCAAAGCAGGTCACCATGAGTTGGAATCGACTCAGTGGCAGTGGGTTTGGTTCTTTTTTTTTTGGTGGCACTCAGTAAGTTAATCGAATCAACAAAGAAATTAATACACAACTGAAATGGAGATCGGGAATCTGTTGTAGTGATTTCGAGTCCAACTTGGAAAAATATCTTTTTATTTCCTTTGATAAAGATTTTATGAAAAAGTCCATTTTATGAAAAAGACTAGTTTAAAATCCACTGCCATCAAGTTGATTCTGACTCATAGTGACCCTACAGGAAATGCCCCATAAGCTTTCCAAAGTTATAAATCTTTATGGAAGCAGGCCGCCTCATCTTTCTCTCATGGAACAGCTACTGGGTTTGAATCACCAACCTCTTAGTTAGCAATCATATGCTTTAACCATTACGTCACCACAGCTCCTTTGGAGGCATTTAAATATGTTCATTAATAATGTAGAGATAATTAACTGTAAAGAAAAGAGGTCATTCCAGACCCTGCTACTGAATATTCAAGACAAAATAGGAAGAAACAAATTCACAGAATATTAGAAATCATTGGGCCCTTGGAGATCAAGTTCAGCATCCTCATTTCAGAGATGAAAAAAGCCAGGTTTTAAAACTTAGAGAAAGGAGCTCTCTGGTGGTGCAGTGGTTAAGGCATTTGGCTGCTAACCAAAAGGCCAGTGGCTTGAACCCACTAGCCACTTCCCTTGAGAACGATGAGGCATTGTGCTTCCATAAAGATTTACAGCCTTGGAAACCCTATGGGGCCTCACTGAGTCAGACCTGACTTGATGGCAGTATTTTCGTTTCGTTTTTAAGGAGCAATAAAAGTATGGACAATTATCAAGCAGAGAAAACAAACTCAAGGTGGTAGCGGTAAGACGCTAAAATAGTGTGTTGCTAGTATTACAGGAAATAATGAAAAATATTTTGAAGTGTAAATTTAAAAAATTTAGGTGAGATCAACTAAGAGATCCAGAATAAGGGAACAGTTAACTTTTGATTATTCATGTTTGGCATAAGCTTAAGTAGTAGACAATCCCAAGTCATTTGATAAAAACTTGGCTTTGCAGTAAAATTTATTTTTTTCAGCACTTACTTTATTTATGGCAATATCAACATTTGAGGTGGAACTAGTAAGAATATTAGCAGTGTGCACTCAGCCAAGTCAATCATTCCAGGCTTCCATTTTCCCATATGTATGCTCAGTTTATTAGATCATCTTAAAAATTCCTTTTAGCAATTATGAATCCTCGGACCCTCATTTGTCCAGACCAATTCAAAATGTTTCAATTCCAAGCATAAGACTAGTTCATTTAAAAACTTAATTACTGGAATCTTAATTGCTTGGCAACTTTGGTTTTTAAGTTAGTGTGTTTTATTTGTGTGTGCTCCATGTGTATTTGCAAGATGTGCTGTGAAATAGTTACTGTATTTGATTTTCAGTGTAGACCCTAACCCAAGTTTACTTAGTGGTCCCTGTCTACCTTCCAAAATAGACTGGAAGATTACAAAAAGAAAATAAAACTAGTAAGAGATGGGTCAAGTGGTTGGAGAGGGGAAAATGTGTCATACTATCTTGGTTAAGAAATGTAGGCCATGATAGGACACAACTTGAACAACCAAATCTAAATGAAATCAGAGAACCAGATACCCAAGAAAAATAACAGAAACTCTTCAATATGAATTCAGATGCACCATTTTGCAGTGTATTAAATTTCTGAAACCTCACAGGCACTGCTGGGTCAACCATGGGTACCTTTCAGGCAAAAGGTCCATATAAGAGAGGCCTGTGGTCCACATTCCTGTATGGCTTTGACGGCACCCTTGAGGTACAGTTGAAGCTGAATCCTAGGCAACACCCTTCCTTGTCTCAAAGGAACATTGGGGCTTCCCACCTTGAGTCTTCCCTCTCCCAGGCAAGGCCTCTAATACACCTATGGGGTTTTCCTTTCAGATGTCCCCTCTTTGTCCTTAACCTCCAGTGTAGGCCTCCTAGTCTGCAGTTGCCATTACCTCCATCCTGGGTGCAAGGGCTTTGTCATCGCTACTGCCTACTCTGTCCATTTTGTCCAGTGGCACCGCTGTTGCAAACGCCTGGGGCAGAGGAGAGAAGCTGCAAAATGGCTGGTTCAGTAGTGGGAAGGGGGGCACATGGGAGGCTTGAGGTCAGGGGTCCCAGGCAGGACCTGGCAAAGCAATTAACTCACCCACCTCTGCTGCTCCAGCCTCCCTCTTAAATTTGCAACTCAAGATTTATTCATTTAAAGCATGCTGTTTAACTAAGTTTTATACTTATTTCCTAAAAAATATCTACACTTTGTTGCTCCAAATGACTCGTTGTTGTTGTTATATGCCATTGAGTCGGACCCAACTCATAGCAACCCCTCCTTGGGTTTCCAAGGCAGTATCACTATGGAAGTAGTTCGCCCAACCTTCCTTCCAAGGAGTGGCTGGTGGGTTTGAACTCCAGCCTTCTGATTAGCAGTCAAGTGCCTCAGGCACTACGCTACCAGAGCTCCTAAATGACTCTTTAAGGCCTACATTTCACGACAGGCTATGTAATAGTGGTTATGACCACAAGCTGTAGGATTAGTTTTTACAGCTTGTGAAAGCTAGATGAGATTTTCCAAGGTAGTAAATACTTCTGCTAGTACCACTAACTTGATTTGACAGAATTAAGGACTGGAGGAAGATGAGAATAAAGTGAGCTTCTTCATCAAAGAGGCCACTGTGGCATCAGCACAGACTTTTTAAATAACCATCTAGTCAACCCTGACTCATGGTGACCACACGTATGTTTGAATAGAACTGTAGTCCATAGGGTTTTTCAGTGACTGATTTTTCAGAAGTAGAAAGCAGGAAGGCCTTTCTTCCAAGACAACTCTGGGTGCACTTGATCCCCTTAGTCTAAAATTGCTGTTAGTACCTGAGCTCATTAATCTATTGCATTACCCAACACAGACCATATCAGTTAGAAAATGAGTCTGAAATTTTGCTTAGGGATGGTGCAAATTTCATCATCTATTCCCCTATGAGTTACTCTTCTCTCAATTTATCCAGTTAATTAAAAAGTATTACCACTAGATCAGGCTCCAAATTTATAAAATCAGTATTTCATTCACAAGAAACAGGGAACTGTTGACAGGAGAAAAGGCCAGGCTATGGGTAGAATTCCAGATATCACAATTTGTAACTTTTAACACAGGATTTTTAAGAATTTAAGATTCTCCTGGAGGATTACAGGAGGGTGGTGTGAGTACAAGGAGCTCTAGGGCACAGTAGTTAAAGCATGTGGCTGCTAACCAAAAGGTTGACAGTTTGAACCCACCAGCTGCTCTGCAAGATAAAGATAGGCCAGTCTGCTTCTTTAAAGATTTATGGCCTTGGATAGCCTATGGGGCTGTTCTACTCTGTCCTATAGGGTTGTTATGAGTCGATTCATCTCTACAGCAGTGAGTTTGTTTTTCTGGTTTGGTAGTGTGAGTACACAGGCACTGTATCCAGTGTAATATACTTTAAACAACAAATAGATTCATAAAAATCCTATTTCAGCTTTCTAGATGCAACGATGTGTCTCTCCTCATCCAGAGCAAAGAAGAATGAAGAAAACTAAAGATTCATGGAAACAGTTAGTCCTAGAGTCTGGTACAATCCGCAGACTATGAGACCAGAAGAACTAGATGGTGCCCAGCTACCACTGTCAACCACTCAGAGGGGGATCTAGGTAGGAGATCCTGGGTAGAGAGTGAGAACAATGTGGAACAAAACTCAAAATCATTTGGGGGGAAAGAAAAGGGAGAACCAGGTTTGCTGGTCTGATAGAGCCTGGTGGAACCACTGAGACTATGGCCCCTAGCTGCCCTTCAGGTCTGGAATTGAACCCACACCTGTGGTTTCCAGCCAAATAAAAGACAGGCATATGAGCTGAACATTTACCTGAGGTAGATACACTCCTTGGAGAGAACAATCATGGGAGAAAGAAGGACTGTTTATGCACAGGGAGACAGCTCAGGGGGCAGGGGTGCATGCAGGGACAGACACAGGGAAGAGGTAACTATCAGGAGGAAGTGGGAGGGGAGCTGTTGCATTGGGCTAACTGTAGTCAATGTCACGAGACCAAGTGTATGTGAACTGTTGTATGGAAAGTGAATTTGCTCTTTAAATTTTGACCCAAATCACAATTAATCAATCAAAATAAATAAATGAGGAAAAACAAAAAACAAAAACAAAAACAAACAAAAAAATTCAGCTTTTTGTACATTAACCATTTTGGTGCACTATGAGACCTCAGGTTTGAAAAGACATGCACAATGTACAATGTTAACCCTTGCAAGACTGAATCATTTTCTGCTTTGAATTTTTTGTTGAAACTGTTTTTAATAATAGAAGGCATTCTGAAATTTTTTTTTATTTTAAATTGAGGTAATATGAATTCTGATACAATTGGTGGAATACATATGTCCCAGGAGGTCTCTGGTGCTGGGGCTGGTGAGATGAGGTCCATTTCTTCAGACTCACAGTTATACAGGCCCTCACCTGATGGCAGCACACACTGAAAGTGGGACAGCAGGTTCCCACTAAATCTCAGAGGTGAGCACTCTATGCCCCATAGGTTATGAAAGGTTTAACCTAAATTTTGTTAAAAATCTAGATCTTCCCATGTTCTCTGACAAAGTTTGACCTTAATTCCATTAATTATAGTATAAGAAAGAGACAGCAACAATATAACCTTTACTCCAAAGTTGGAGATAGCAAGATTACGGAAACTATATTCTCTCTTCTTCCTCTGAACTTTATTTTTTCCCCTTTTCCTACTCCTTGTCTTCACTGTACTTCAAACAATACAGACAACTTCTGCCAGATATGCCAAGTTGAGTCTGCTGGTATGATGTGTGATTCTTCCTTGCACCTAGTTGACCTAATAAATCAATCACACAAGAATACTACATATTTTCCAATTTGGAGTCTGCAACTGGTAATTATGATGAAGGACGGTTCTTGAGAATCAACTGAATTAAGTCCATATTAGTTTATTTAAATTTTCCAAGATTTTTGAAAATTGTTTTCATTATACAAACAAGCCAGTGAATTCTTATTTATTAATAAACTGCTTAATATATGATAATAGAAAGATCGTTTGAAAACTGACTCAAAATGTCTTATGACTGAACCAATTTCAATGAATTTTCTTAAACACAGTTAATCATACAGCTTTTGGGAGATGTGTTAAATGATGAAAAAATGGGCGACCATGAACACACCCTTTAATTTCATTTCTAAATTGGTGCTTTATCCTGTTGACAATGTCTAGGACGTCCTCTTTGGATAAGTACATGGGTAGCTGTCTAGACAGACGTACTGCTTCTCCCTGTGAAGAGAAAGTCATGCATTTTACAGGGATATACCCTGAAGCAGAAAATATGTTATCTTGGCAAAAAGGAAAATAGAAAATTAATTATATTGTTGTCATTATTCATTCACTCAGGAAATATTTAAGGAGCACCAATTATCTGCTAGTCAATTCTGCAGGTTCTAGGGATACAGTAGAGAAGAAAAGAAACAAAATCCCTTCTCTTGTGAAATTACATGCTAGTGCAGAGAAAGGGAAAGACAGAATGTGACTGAATAACAATGCAGGAAAACAGGGACAGTGACTGAGTAGTTGGGAAAGGTTTTCTTGAACAAACAGAAACTGTGGGGGAAGAAAAGCATTTCAAGCAGAGATAAGAGAAAGTACAGAATGTCCAATATGAGTACATTATTGATAAAGGGAAAAAAGGGGCAAGATAAGGGACTGGTCAGGAGCCAGATCAAAGAGGTCCCAGAAGGGCAGGATGAGTAGCTCAGGTTTTAATCTGAATGTACAAGAGTAACCAGAGGACTTTTAAGTGAGGGTCTGATCTTCAGTCTGGTGGCTGTGTGAAGAGTCTGCAGTCATCACTGCAGTCCTGAGACGAGGCTTTGACTACAGTGATAACAGTAGAGATGGAGGGAGGTAGAAAGATTCCTGATAGGAGTTGGAAGTAGAATCAAGAAGACATGCTGATAGGCTGGTTATGAGGAACATAGAAGCAAAAAGAATGCCTATATTTTTAGTACAGTAATACTGTTTTCTGAGGTAACTAAGATTGAAGAAGGATCAGATTTGGAGGCAAAATAGTATTAGTAAAGTTGGCTTCTTTTATTTATTTATTTTTAAATTTATATTTGAAGCATCTTGAACCTTAACATCATTCTAACCACATCCTCTCTCTCCCATTATCATTCTAAACATCCTACTCCTTTATTCTAACTAAACCTGTTCTTTTTCTTCATTTTGACCTTTAATCTCTTCAATCCCTCCTTACTCTCCTGGTCCACCAGCACCCTTCTGTCATCTTTCCCTGCTTAGGCTCTAAAGCCAGACATTTCAAGGACACTAGCTTTAGCATCCTTCAGTCCTTCTGGACTACTAGATTCAATACACAAAACACTACACACAACTTAACCTTTTTTTTTATATACATAGAGTTCATACTCTTTCACAAGAAATGATTTCTTTGAAGTCTCTAGAAACCTCCAGTGCTTAATTTTACTACAATATGCTGGGAATGCCCATTAGACAAAGTTCCTGAGGACTTACAAAATTACTGAATAAGTTTTTCAGAAAGCGCAAAGAATGAATCTTCTATTGAGGAAGTCTGACTCTCAGAATGCAACAGATACACCATCATTATACCCTAACAAAAATTCCTTATTTAAAAGAGAAATTAAATTCTATTAAAGTTTTGGCTTAAAATAACAGCACTGGTGACTGCTCCTGAAAATACAGTTTTTAGAAACAGTCACTATTGTTTCCCTCTACTTGGACATTTTAAGTTTATAATCTTCCTCCATCACTATTATTTACTTTTGAATTAATTTTTTAAAAATCCATTATAGCTACAGTTCTCATTGTGGTGGATATTGTTAGGAAACAAAAACCACCACTTATTTAGTAATATAGGTCTATTAAAAGAGATCAAGGTTTAGAATTTTATCACTTTCTTTCCAGACAAGTACTATATTTTCTTTCATATAACATGCCCACAGAAATAATGCACACAGATAATGCCCACAGTGCACACAGGAAGCTAGCCCATGAGGGGGCTGCCCAGTGTGGGAAAAAAAACTGTGTGACATATGTGTTATTTGTATAAAAATATGGTATATAGTATAAGATAGAGCCTTTTGAATCCCTTCTAATTATGGAGATTTAAAAAAATCCTAAGTATGAAATGTCTCATTCATAAAGCTCTTCCTTAATATGTACCTAAGAAATAATGTTATGGTAAGGATCCATGATACAATACAAATAATCAGTCTAGACGTAAAATTTTAATGGAGTTGGTTATTCTTTTTCAAACAGTATCACCTTTGTGCAAAGAAAATAAACAAACCTTACTGAAACAGTTTACTATTTTTAAATGGCTTATTATTTTAAGAAACAATTCACTATCTTAAAACCTACCAAACCCACATAAGCTAATAATATATACCTCTAAATAACTTATCACTTTTCGAGGTCTACATTCATAAACTTCCTTGGCATTTTTGTTTAGGATAGCATTAAGAATTTCTTTCAAATCCATTACTCCATAGAACGGGAGGCAGTTAGCCATTCCTTCTATTTCTAAGTAGTTTTCAGCAACGGAAACTCCTGAAAGAAAAAAATGAAAACACACACATAGTCATTTTAGTTTAAATTAAATTTTAGAACAATGTTCATTAAAAACAACATCCATGTTAAAACATTTAGTTAATCTTCAATAGAAATTCGAGATAGTCAGAACAAAGTTTTACTTCCTTACTTGGAGAACAACTAATAATTTCCCACAGGATTTCAAATTCATATTAAGTCATAAGTGCTCATTGACACCACATGAGTTTTATGTAATTTAATTTAATCTCAGTTATTGCTGCTCTGTTGCTTACATTTGTTGAGAACATTTCTTATTTTGGCGCAAAAGAAGAGTCCCATGATATTTATTAAAATAAAACTGCTTTAAGTGTTTTAACAACTGCTACAGTTCAAATTCTATCCTACTGGTTTAATATCTAATTTAAAGGCCTGAATTATTTCTGTGATTATTTTAAAATGTTATAAAAATACTCAAACAGTAATTTAACAATATACAGTAATTTGAAGAAATAAAATACTAATGTTTGTTCAAAATATTTTACTAGGCAATGCTAAAAATGACATGTTACCTATTATTTAAAGTACTTTAAATAATTTAGTAATTAAAATATAACTAAAAACTAGCTACATGATTAGCTGTGTAACTGAGGCAATAATCCCTAACAGCACATATTCCATAGCATCAAATTTAGCCTTAACATGGACTTATGTGATTTTGGAAAATAGCAGAGCACTGTCTTCTCTGACTGTAGCTGTACAGCAGTTGTTCTTAAAATTGAAGACAATACAATGCCACCTAGAAGCAAGGAAAAAGAGCCATCTAATCTTAGTAACCTATCATTGTGTTAAAAGAAGCATAGTGTAGGTTTGAGAATTTCAGATCCTGAGAACTCTAATGATCTTAGGTCTAACCTGTTCCCAGTTACAGACTAGTTCTTGGATTGCAGTTACAGTGGGGGCAGACTGAACACAGCATGTATCCTAGTATTCTTTGAGGAATAATATAATATATAATATAATCAAGCACTAAGGTACAGAGCTCAGTGAAGGGAGACACGAGAGTTAGAACAGGCAGGGAAGCTAAAATGGAATTTGAAACAGGGTTTAGATAGACAAAGTGGTAGAAGAATATTCTAGCTCACATTTATTTATTTGTGTGTGTGTGTGTGTGTGTGTAAGGATTTTAAAAAGTATCATTCTAAGAGTCTCTCCACTATTGCTAGTGAAAAGTATGATTAGACTTAAAGGTCTTGTACTGACTATATTTGTCTTAGAAAATGGTATATTTCACAGAATGACTTGTGCTTATGGGTAAAAATACTTGGCAAAGGACGAGGAAATTGAGCAGTATTTTAATCTTTGTGTTTGGAAAATGAGATATGGAAATTTTAAGAGACATCTGGAATTACAACAATTAACTTTCAAGAAGTATCCATAAAATTCTATGAAATGCTTCCTAATTTTCAGGAAGAATACTTCAAATGAAAAAGTTATCTGACAAATTTTCACTTGCTAAAATATGGAATTCTTACTCAGAACAGAAAGCTATTCTTATTAATAAGCAAAGTTTTTAGGGTCACACTCAGAATCTTCTCTTCACAGACACCTTTGTCCTCCTCACCCATTGTGACAACAAGCAAATTGTTGATTCAAAGTTCGTACAACAATATACTCACTAAAATAGTCCTTAAACATCTACCTTATGAAAAATAATGCAGAAAAAAAAAGAAGACTAAAACAAAAATGAAGAAAGGAAACATGAATTCTTTAATTTGGTCTGTTATTGAGAAAAGAAATAGTTCTGATGATAATCTAAACAAAGTTAATTCCTGTCAAATGAAATTGGTTTGCAGCTGATGGTCATATTCAGTCTTGCACCTTCAGTGCCATTCAAAATACCTGTCATTCAACAGGACTTAAAAAACACTTATCTACAAGCTAAGAGCTGCATGAGTGTACTTATTTTTTAACTTAACAGGAAGCTGAAAAAATGAACATACTCAGGCAACAGACAGGACAGTTATCCTGTTAAAGGAAATTGCTATAAGGAGACACACTGACATTTATTCTTTCATAAAAATGGTACCTGCCACCAATGCATGCAGCTAATTAGAGAATTAGATTAAGTCAAGTAAAATATATGCTACACTGCTACACACACACACCCAGAAAACAAAACACATTTTGCTTCACAATTCAGATAAATTAAAAAGATGCTAGGGAGCCTAATGAAAAAAATGTCTAGAAACAAAAGAAGTGACAAGTCAGTTCAGGCCAGAAAGTTGGGTGGGGAGGTGAGAAGAGATTATTTAAACATCTACCACTGCCAAGTACCACATTAAGTCATCTATGTAAGTTACCACATTGATTCCTCACAACTACTTCATGAATTATATATCCCAATTTTAATAGGGAAGCAGTATAACAAATGAATTAACCAAGTCTGCTTGCATTCAAACTCGAGTTCTACAACTGTGTTCCCTTAAGCAAACTTCTCTGTGCTTTGATTGTTCCATCTGTAAAATGGGGACATTAATGGTACTTACTTTATAGGGCTATTAGGAAGATTAAATGAAGACATTTAATACTTAGGTAGTTTTAAAGTGACTAAGGCACTTGACTGCTAACCAGAAGGCTGGCAGTTCAAACCCACCTGCCACTCCTCGGAAGGAATGTCGGGCAATCTACTTTCGCAGTGATACCACCTCGGAAATCCAAGGAGGGGTCGCTATGAGTCAGGTCCAACTTGATGGCAAATAACAACAACAACAACAACAACAACAACAACAAGTGCCCTGAATATAAGTATTCAATAAATATTAGTGGTTGTTATTGATGAGGAAACAGCAAGGTTTACTGACTTTTCCAAGGCCAAACCATTTTTAAATTGCAGAGTTGGGATTTGGATTACCTCTTTCTACCTGAAGTCTAAATATCTTTGTTTACCATTACTTTATCTAAAGTTGAGGTTGGGGTAAGAAATTTAGGGTAGGTGCACTGAATAGCTTGATGTGGCCCTTCTAGCCATTGTCCTCCACTCTGTGATGTATTGTAAATGCCATTATCCATGCCTGTTTAGGGTGGCGTTGTAGTTAAGGTCAGGTATCAACTTGGCTGGGCAGCTGGTAGCAGTCATTCTCTATAATGACTGGCAATCAACTCTGTGATGGGATTTAGGTTAATGCTGTTGGGGCAACACAGGTGGAATATATCTTGAGTCCTGCCTTGCTGGAGGGCATAATTCAAATCACTGCCCGTAGCTTCCCTGAGAGTATACCTACGAATCTCTCCTCTTGCTCCGGGCATTGTGTCTTGGATCATCCTCATCTCACCCCCGGATTTGGGACAGCAGGGACAGCAGCCGTCATCTGATCTGCTGATCGAGGTTCATCAAACCCTGAGATTGGGAGGACCTGGGACTCACCAGCCTGCCAGCCTCCACCTCTACTACGTGAGACGAACCCTTGGGTGTCTGTGAGTTCTGTGAGGCATTACAGCGAAATATAGAACCCTAAGACTGGGGAAATTATTGGGAGGAGGAGGAGGAGGAGTTAATGTCTGAAATGATGGAGTGGCATGGTAGTTTGGACATTTGCGACATCTTTGACCTCCGCCTCAAGGGGACCGGCCTTGTGCTGATCTTTCTAAGAGAAATTGTTCAAGCAGTAGGTATCCTAAATTGCACAACTAAAGTTAAATTACTTTTACGTTTAGAACAGCAAAGCATTTCTTGTATATACCTAATTTCATGCTTCTGTACTTTGTTTTTATTTGTTTTCTTTTCATGCACCAGGGAAACATTCCTTTAAACACTTTCAACATTGCTCTAGTTATTAAACTTTGTTTCTCTCTACTTTGGTTGTAAGTTTAGGAGTAGAAGGAGGGACAATGGAGCCAACCTCTGTGTACTATTGTGCCCCTTAATAAGAGATGAAGAGAAAGCAGCAAGACAGAACGAGTGTAGGAAGCTAGGGCAGAAGGCAGGGAAGTGTGGGAAATGCGAGAAAACAGAGAAGGGACCCACCAGGAAAACTTAACTCCTCCAGCAGAAGGACTTTCTTTTTCTCGCTCCACCTGATGGATTTTCATACTAAACAAAGATCATTAGCTTTTTGGTAAAACTATGGAAGCAAACCATCTACTCTCCAAATATTAAGACTGCTGATATTAAATGCCCACTTCATGAAACAAGTAAATGCTTTAAAAAAAGAGAAAGGAGATATCCACTTTTGTTTGGCCATCCCAGTGTCTAATATTTATTTCAATTTCACCATCTAAAGGAGTATTTTAATAATTTTGTTAGCAAATCAGGCAGTCTGAATATTATGTCAACGGATGGCAACAATTACAATGAAACTCCTTGATTAGTTATAAAAATGAAAAAGTAAGGCAATGTACTGAAAGAGAAGCCAAACTTGCTTGTTTCATACATAGGTGTTCTCTGTAAACTAAGACTGTTTCTTCATCGCTAACACTGTATATCTGGTGAGGCAAAAATATGCCATGATACCTGTAAATAAAACCTAAATGTAATTCTTAGAACCAGACATTATTATTATTATTATTTACTTTTTTTAAAGATTTATATTTCCAAGTCAGAAAATATTAAGCCACATTATCATACCTGGTATCAATTTGATGTTGAAACCATTTGCTGTAAGACGAGGATCGGACAGGTATATTGACCCATTGTATCTTTGGTCATCTGTTGTCATTTTATGTAATACCTCTAAATAATGAGATCCATTAAAAAGACTGAAAAAGAAATTATGGACTTTTAACTTATTAATTATGTAAAATGAAATAATGGGATTTTTTT